TGAGTGTGTGAGGGTGAGTATGAGAGAGAGTGAGGGTGTGTGAGTGACAGTGAGTGTGAGTGAATATGAGAGAGTGTGTGAGAGAGAGAGTGTGAGAAAGATAGTGAGACAGAAAGTGTGTGAGTGTGTGTGTGGATGAGTGAGAGAGAGAGTGAGAGAGAGAGAGAGAGTGCCAACTATTGATCCAACATGCCTCTCAGTCCCTTCATCCCAGCTTCTCCCCCAGACCCGTCACCTGTGAGAACTGGTTTCTGAGGAAGGGTCACTGGGTCTGAAATGTTAACTTTGGTTTCTCTCCACATGCTGCCAGACCTGCTGAGCTTCTCCAGCAATTTCTGCTTTTGTTTCTGATTTACAGAATCTGCAGTTCTTGCGGCTTTTATTTAAATCTAACTCCTTCTCGAAAACATTCAGTGTTCTGGCCCCGGCCGCTTTCTGTGACAGAGAATCCCACAGGATCCCCACCCCTACCACCTCCTCGATCATCGGGAACATCCCTCCTGTGTTGACCCTGTCTAATCCTGTCAGAATGTCATCAGTTTCTTCATCATCATTCTTCGAAACTCCAGGGAATATAATCCCAACTGATCCGGTCTCTCTTCATCCGTCAGTCCTGCCATCCCAGGAATCATTTTGGGAAACCTTTCGCTGCTCTCCCTACATCACCAGAGCTCCCTTCTTCAGAGGAGGAGACCCCAAACTGCACACACAGTTCTCCAGGGGGTGGTCTGCACAATTGCAGTGAGACATCTGTGCCCCTGTACTCAAATCCTCTTCTGGGGAAGCAAACATACCATTTGCCTTCTTCACCATTAGTAATGCTAACCTTTTGTTACTTTTGGAAAGATGTACCGTCATTTATAGAGTCACACAGCACGGACACAGACCCTTCGGCCCAATGCATCCGTGCCGACCAGATATCCTAAATTAATCTCATCCCATTTGCCAGCATTTGGCCCATATCCCTCTAAACCCTTCCTATCCATGTCCCCATCCAGATGCCTTTTAAATGTTGTAATTGTACCAGCCCCCACCACTTCCTCTGGCAGCTCATTCCATACACGCACCACCCTCTGTGTGAAAAAGTTGCCCCTTAAAACTCTCTCCTGCTCACCTTAAACTTATGACCCTCTAGTTTTGGACTCCCCTACCCTGGGGAAAAATGCTTTGTCTATTCACTCTATCCATGCCCCTCATGATTTTATAAACCTCTATAAGGTCACCCCCTCAGCCTCCGACGCTCCAGGGAAAATAGCCCCATGTTGCCGGGTGTGGAAGGTTTGAGTTATAAAGAGAGGCTGGATAGGCTGGGACTTTTTACATTGGGACATAGGAGGTTGAGAGGCGATCTTTATAAAATCTTTATAAAATCATGAGCAGTATAGATAGGGTTAATGGTAGGTGTCTTTACCCTGGGGTGGGGGATTTCAAGGCTAAGGGGCACATTTTTACGGTGAGAGGAGAGAGATTTTAAAGAAGACATGAGGGGGAAATATTTTTCACACAGAGGGTGGTTCGTGTGTGGAATGAACTTCCTGAGGAAATGGTGGATGTGGGTACAGTTACAACGTTTAAAAGACATTTGGATAAGGACATGGATAGGAAAGGTTTGGAGGGATATGGGCCAGGGGCAGGCAGGTGGGGACTAGTTAGGTTTAGGATGATGGTCAGCATGGGCTGGTTGGGCCGAAGGTCTGTTTCCGTGCTCTGGACCGTAGAAGCCAAGAATAACCTATGCCCCTCTAATTTTGGTCTCCCCTACCCTGGGGGAAATCTTGACTATTTACCCTATCCATGCCCCTCATGATTTTTATAAACCTCTATAATGTCACCCCTCAGCCTTCGACGCTCCAGGGAAAATAGCCCCAGTCTATTCAGCCTCTCCCTATAGCTCAAACCCTCCAACCCTGGCAACATCCTTGTAAATCTTTTCTGAACCCTTTCAAGTTTCACAACATCCTTCCTATAGCAGGGAGACCAGAATTGAACACAGTATTCCAAAAGTGGCCCGAACCAATGTCCTGTACAGCCGCAACATGACCCTCCCAACTCCTTTACTGACAAAGGGTCTAGGCTCAAAACATCAACTCTCCTGATTCTTTGATGGCTCCGACACATCAGTTTTCCTGCTCAACTGACGCTGCCTTTCCCTGCCATGTTCCTCCAGCTCCACGCTGTATGGACTCTGACTCCAGTTCTTGCTGTCCCCCTACACTGACCAACGAGGGCAGGCGTGCCAAATGCCTCCCGCACCGCCCTGCCAACCCACCACAGGGTGCTATGCGAAGGAAGGGGATGTCGGACTTACACACAGCGTCGAGGAAGAAAGGGGCTGAGTCGCTGGCTCCCAAGGCGTTGCTGACGCTGCAGATAAAGGGGGCCCCGTCACGGCGCGTGACGGAGCGCAGCGTCACCGTCTCGTTGACGGCGACGGTCTCCAGCGTGTTGCCGGGCACACGCCGGTACCAGGTGTAGTTCAGTGGGGGAGGGTGGCTCCGACAGCGGCACACCAACGTGACGTCGTCCCCCTCGTGGATCCTGCTCCCGGCTCCCAGCGCGATCACCGAGACTTCCTTCGGAGAGACTGGAAAGAGGGAAAA